AAACCCAAATAAGGCAATTTTGAGTGTTTTGATAGACAAGGATCTACAGAAATCAAAAAAATTGGCCCATATGATTATTATAAGGACTCTATCCAATTTACAGTATCATCCAAAAATTGAAATTTTAAAATTTTCTGGTGTACGATAAGGTGGCATATTATTGAAATTTTGAAGTTAATATATGTAATTCTTAGGAAGAACTATCTTTAAGACATCTGGTAAGGAATTTCATGAAAGTATTTGTGTATTATTAGTATTAACCATAATTTTATTTCTTATCGTTTATACATTTTGACTTTAATAATCATCGCAATGACTAATAAATTGTGACGGATTAAAATGTAATCAAATCAAAAATGAAATTTTGTAGTGTAAAAAATAGACAAGCCACGAAAAATGCGAATTTTTAGGGTGCATTTTTTTTGGTATTTTTTAAGGTTAGGTTAGCTTTAGGGATATAATTTATAATAAACCAGTATAAGTGGGATAGAAACTCAAAATTAGAGTTCCAATCCGGTTAGCATTCACCCGGATAATTATCAGATATCCGGATCTGAATTTATTCGGATATCTATTTACTATCTATAATTATCTGAATACATGTCAGATTATCAATAGTAAACGGATATCCGAATAAATCAGATATGGATACGGATTTATCCGGATTGGAACTACTCAAAATTCATTCGATCCGCGACAATAATTACATAATTGACTATCTATTGACAAAAATTTTCTTTGAAAAATATTTTATTTATAAAAAAAGAAAAGAAAAATTAAGCTAGAAATAGTGATCTAATCTAACAAATGTTTGTGATAATTTTATATAAAAAAATATATTTATCAAGTTAGATAAATCATATTTTTTTGTAACATGTCGTAAATAATAACATAAATATTGCACATGTCTTCGAGATGATGGAGAATACTAATCAGGTGTTGCTTATCGAGGTGATTAAGAGCATGGTAACTATCTTGAATTGTTGGAAACTTGTAATATGTCCTTTATGAATAGATCCATTGAAGAACAGATAGATATTAGCAAAGAAAGCATAAAGTATATATGCAGGTTAATGATTTTATGATGTTGATAGGACCTGTAACTTACTTGCATAATTTGGTACGAGCGACATAATACCTTGTAATGCTGTCTAAGAATAAAAACGAGCTGTCTTCAACGCGTGATAATTCTGCAGTTATATCTAAATATCACAACTATAAGTATACTGAGGAGATTTTATAACATGTAAATGGGATATGTATATACCTTCTTGAGCAGAAATTTTTGGATTTTCTTCAGCACCAATTCTACATATCGTTAGATAAAGATGATTAGGTTGATTTTAACAAGATAATTAACGATTATTTAGCACATTCAAACCTTGGATATTTAAGAGTAACCCAAGCTCTCAATTTACAACAATATCCAGCGAAACAAGCAACTTCGTTTTCAAGAATTTTATGTAACTCCTTGATACGAAAATAATCATTTCCATTATTCAAACACATTATACTATCGTCGTTATTATCAGTATTATCGTTATTTGTCATATGAATAGCATCACACAAGACACTTTCAACGTCTTTTACGTTTTCAACAATCTGAGAGTGATCATTGATCTCATTTCTACGTCGTTTACGAGATTTTGCATCATCATCATCATTTTGAACCAAAGGAGAAAAATTAAGATTAGTTACGGAACTATCTTTTTGATATTGTAATAAATTACTTAATTCCAAAATTTTCCGAGGAAAAATTTGGTTAATGATCTCAAGGGATTGAAGTTTAAGTTTTGAGTGAAACTGATCAAGGTTTTGAGGATTAGATGATGCGGCAAAATGATCAGATTGAGACATGATAAAAATATATTAGGATTTAATCAAAGATAAATCCTTTTAAAAAATCTCGAATTATATTATATACATTTTCATGATATCATTATGATAATATGCTTAGGAAGATTTAACGTTAACGATCAACTAGATAACATGATATATTATACGATTATAACGTTCACCTGAGGTAAATTCATCGGGTATGCCATTTTTCAAAAACGGATTCAGTAGTAAATTAATATTGTTTTTCCGACGTAGTTTTTAAGCTGCCGGAAATTTTATAATATAAATCTACTGTATTATTTTTCTAGGAGTTTCTAAATTTCGTTTACCGAAAAAAAGCAGATTACGACACGTCGAAATTTTGTGTCCTGGTCGGTAGTGATGGATATATGGTGTACTAGGCAAAAATGTTAACACCCTAAAAAATAACCCTAGCCTTTAACCTAAGGCCATACAAAATTAATTGGTTTTCATGGGTTAAAATTTGAAAACTTCTAAAAAAATTTTTTATATGTTTTAATAACCGGGGTGGTTTTTATATTTTTATATATGAAATTTAAAAAAAAAGCCGGTTGGCCAGGTCTATTTAAAGGTTCATGTTATGAAAACCAAGTAATTAAATTTGTATGGCCTAAGTTCTAAATCTAATCCTAAGTCTAATATAACTTAAAATTTGAGAATCAATTTTAGATATTGATACTTGAATCTGAATCACATAATAGGCTTGATTGAAGTGTTGTAATCCTTTTCCTCTACGTCAAACTTTATTAATAGGTTATACAGCATCATACTAAAGTTCATAAGCACCACAGAGCAAAGCACTCCCTCTAAACTGGCTCTCGTTAAACTGAACACTATTTAAACTGAAAAAATCTCTAGAACATTTTGTAAATTTATTAATAAGTTCGGATCTGAGATAGTAACTCTAAGAAATGAATGCTTAAAAATGTTTACATATAATATCCTTAAAGAATATTTTTAACGGAATAAAGAGAGTTGACTGTACTAATACATCCTACATATTAGTCATAATTCAACAAGTACTACAATTACTTCTCTTTATACCAAACTAGTGATTTTGGTTCATTATCGTTATAGAGTTGTAATTAATCTACCGGACATGTATAGCGACCGTTTAACAAATTGACTAATAATATGCAATCACGCGATCAAGTATGATATCTCTATTTAGTCTGATACTAAGGTATAACACCAACATACGACAGCGACACGTACTGTACGTACGTATGTCACTATCCAAATTTTGTATGACGTCTGTTAAGTCAACTTACAAATACTTATAAAAGCTTTTTGGCACTATATAATAAAGTTGTGACTATAATAGATAAACCTGAAATGTCTCCTGAAACATATACAATAGAGATCCACTCTATATTGGCAAGACAAGATTTTATTTACATTTGTTATGTCTACTTATAGATAGGAAAGGTGGTTATGTAACAGTCATGAAGAGTTGGATGACCATGTATGTGCTTAAAAATTATCAAATACACCCAGTCTTTGTTACTATTTGTTAACGATCGATAACAATTTTAAAAAGGGTTTCTATCTAAAAGTGCAACGCTAGAGAATTAAAACTCTTTCTGGAGTTATCAGTCGGTACTTGGTCGTGGTTCTGGTAAAATTTGTCGACAGCCATTAGCCAACACTAATTATATATCAGGCCAACTAATGGCTGTCGGCGAAATTGGTTTATACCCTCGGACGTATATGAATATTGGCTTTGGTATCATTTAAGCCCTATTGTCACATGAGGTTGATTTGGAATAACGGTAATGACGCATTGGTACCAGGTGGTAAATATATTTAACAATCCTGCAATGAATTTTGTCTAATAAAGATATGTAGTTTCGAGGAAGTTCAACATGCTAGATGTCAGTCCAGATGTGAATAATTACACAATTACACTTCTCAAATGAATTCTTAAACTCATATATTTATTTCAGAAAATAGGAAGAGCGCCTTGATTTTATATATAAAAATGAAAAAATCAGAAATTCGTAATGGCTATGGTACGATTTCCCGAAAAATTTTCCAGAAAGGACATAATATCGACTAAATCGGCCAGCATTATAACCAATGCTAGGTATTATGTCCTTTCAAGAAAATGGCTTTCGAGAAATCGTATAATAACCAAAAAATCCAGATACGATTAACCTGAAACATCAAATAAAACCTAATTATCGTTGGCAAACCCAAATCCCATGTCATAATCCCAAACTCTGGCTAAATCCCAATTCTGGCCAAATCTCAAATTCCAACCCAAATCCTATTCCAAATCCCAAATCTCATCTCAAAGCTCAAATCTCATCCCAAATCCTAGAGGTCTTACCCGGGTCAGACGAAAATTCATAAAGTTTTTGAAGTTAATCCTTAAAAATTGATGTAACGACTCTTAATTAGAGCTGCAGTATAGAGAACAGCCTTTACTCCAAATATTTAAACTGGAGTTTTCGATTTTTGTATTAAAAATTTTTCGTGATTTGAGTTCGTTCATTTTCTACTTCGGGAAATACGTGACCTCTAAGAAGCTGATCAGACTATCCGGTAAGAGCTTTACTATTTAGTAAATTATAATGCCTTCTACCCATATAGTTATATTAGTAGATTTTTGCATATTTTGAATTCTAACCCGTTTGACCCCGTACGGGTCACTCGACCCGGGTAATAACTCTACCAAATCCCATTCTAAATCCATCTCAAATTTTAAAAAATGGATACCAAAAAATATATTATAACGAGAATGCATATTTCCAAATAAGAGACCAGATCCGGTCAAGAAAATAGAAATCCGAATACTCCTTATCTAGCTTACAGTATTTACCCGTAGCTTCACTATTAGAGCTATTTTATATGTGAGTGATGTTTCTTAGTTTACGTGATTTTATTGAACAATTATCACGTGGATTTGGGACGGGTTTGGCCAGAGTTTGGGATTTGCCCAGAATCTGATATTTGGGTAATATTGAGTAACTTTGTGTAAGGTTTCTGAAACCAATGTACCGGGTCTGTTACATTCCACCAATTTTAACCTATAGTAGACCCGAGGTCTAGTACACAGCTGAGCGTTTATATTGTAGCAAGGTAAACTCTAAAGCACATACATACTTTGTATTTGTAATAAGCAGTCTAGGCTTTTTATCTAATAGAGATCCCGTGATTCATACACGGGTCTAATTCATAGGGGATGATATATGGGGATCTTTTATATGAACTTTTGCAATAATTTGATATCATGTGAATAACGCTAGCCAAAATTCATTGTACTTTTTATGTTCTTTTGAATATAAAATTATAGCTCCGAACGTAGTAATATATCGCTAATAATGCTGGCTAAACTTTCATAATGTTGGTGCAATAATCATGTGCCAATCTACTATCAAACTAAGGAAAAGATTTTCTGCGATTATCCACAAAATATAATTTTTTGCTAATTTCTGTAATAAAAATCCTATTTCTGTGCTCAAAATTTTTTTTAACTATTAATTTTCCGACGACTATCATACTCGTATTTTGTGTTAATTGATTGTCTATCACTCCAACAAAACATACAATTTGACTGGATCATGGTCAAATTTTAGGTCAATTCAAAAAATAAGTGAATTATGCATTTTATTCCTGTACGTATCAAATGTAATAATACGTTACAATTTTGTAATAATTATTTAATTATTTGTAACGTAAATATAATTTAAGTAATTTTCAATCTTAGATTTGGGATTACGTAGTATTTGCCGTTCTTGCCATAATCATGACTAAAAAATCCCATTTGTCCGGGTTTGTCCATAACCAATACCAAATCCCAAGAGTTTCGCCAGCAAAAATACCTATCGGTATCTGCCATCTACTAGTACGTGGCAAACGGTAGGAGTTCGGCCGTTTGCGAAAATTAAAATTTTGATTGGTTAAAATATTGAGAGTTTCAATTCTAATAAATTGATGGATTGAAAGTATCCAATCGTTAACACTACATGTTTGGAATAAAGATGTTTCGTTATACAACGAACTCTAGGACAAAGTATGCACTAGAACAATATCCTTATTGTTTTAAGAGATTATTGTCTAAGAGATATTGAACCTTTTACTACCAAAAAAAATACCAAAAAAAATACGAAAAAAAGTTGAACTATTGGATGATAGTAAATTTTGCTCATAAAATTTACACAGTTTCGAAAGTTGTTTTAAGCCGTTTTATAAAGCTTACTAAGCAAAAACATTGATAATGATCCCTCTGACCAGTCTCGTTAAAAAAAAATCGGCAAATTGACCTTGTTATAATATTTGTCGCCTTGTCATAATGCTATACAAGGAAAAAACGCAGGAACCGAGGATGAAAGCTTAGTTTAGTCACTGATTTAATATACGAAAAGACTTGAATGTCATAACTAGTTAACATCGAGGACAGAAGTAATAAAAAAAAAAAATTTATAGTTTTTGATTGAAACACTTACAGCAGTATGGAGGCAATCCCAATATGAATTGATCAAATTTTTCTTTAATACATGAAACGTTTAATTTATTATATCACATAGTCGATAACAATATGTCAAAAATTCTTTTAGCAAGTTAATAACGATAGGTTAAAGGGACCAATATCGGTGTTTTATCTATAAATAAAATAAAGTTTTATACAAATTTAAAGATAATAAATGGGTAGGTACACAGCAAAACCATGCTTTGAGACGAATTTCTTATTAGGAGATATCAATGATTGATCATTTTGATGCAATATTTGATATATATAGTTACCAAAAGCTGCGCACGATATTGTGCTAAATCTTAATATGTTAATGTGCAATAAAAATTTTACCATGAATAAATCACGCACTTGGGAATATAACTCAATAAAAATCTCAATTTTGGTTAAAAACTTTCAAAGCATGGTTTTGCTGTGTACCAACCCAAATGTTTGTTTACAAAATCTAACTTACATAGTTTCGAAAAGTCGTTTTTCTTAGAAAAAAAGCAATACAGTGTATTCAATGCCTTACTATTAAAATTATTTTGTGGTATTTTTATGTGATAAATTGTTGATCTTATTCCATAAGATGAAATAGTAATACACCGTTATCGCATGCAATAACTGTATAATGTCACAAAGATTAGTAATTATATTCTTTGTGATCTTGGCATAGTGATCGGGATTGATGAAATTGTCTATATCAGTATATTAAAATGCAAACAATCAAGAGATTATACCTTTTCGTGCGACCTCCCTATGTACGTTTATAAAAAAAGAAATTTTCAAAACATTATGTTGTATGTTATGCTATAATTGCGCGTGAAAAATTATTTGATGCATCGCTTAAAAGTTTCTAAAAATAGTCAAACAAGAGTACTTATTGTTACGTACTACTCTAAAAAGTACACATTTCCTAAAGTACGCACGTAGTGTTACTATAAACATTTCCTACATTATTGCTTATTCACACAACGTTTAGGTAAATTCGTTGCAGCAATGTTTTTTTTAAAAGATATACTATTATTTTTATTAAGATGACAAGATGACAACCAGATAATGATATCGCCACCGAAAAAAAATTTTATTGTACAGCTTTGTTAATTCAATTAATAAAATTGTGATTTGTGTGTGTGTGTTTATCTATTTTGTATTAAGTTAGTTGGTGTTGTCAAGAAAAAAAAAATTAGGATCAAATAAAGTATAATCCACACTTACTCTAATCAATTAATTAATAATTTTTATCAATGGTGTGGGCTATACTGCATTTGATCCAAGGTTAAATCTTTCCTTCAGAAAAAAAAAGAAAAAATAAATAAATAAATTATTACATTAAAAATATTACAAAAGATTGAAAAAAAATCTTAAACATATAATACATAAAAGTTATACATGTTTAATTATGATGAATAACTATTGGATTATAAACCATACATGTTATACAGTATATTAGAACTTTTCAGTGAATCTACTTCTTCCATCATAAGATGGAGACGGAGTAGTCGGAGTAGTCGGAGTTGGAATATCAATCAACATACCAACGGCACCAGAGCCACCATTACTGCTACTAGTACTTTCAATATCAATGGCATCATAATATGGATCAACTACATCACTATAAGAATTACCCATATATGCCATCTCTGGTGATTGTAACACGTTATTAGCATCAAAATCATCATAATCAAAATCATCAAGTTTATAATGTCCTTTGGCACTCTTTTTTCTCCTAATAATAACTAAAGCTACAATAAACATTATTGATACAGCAGCTGTTATTGCACCTAATATTGGTCCAATAATATGACTAGTATCTGGAAAATCAGCCGAATCTGTGCTAGAAGGATGATTTATTGAAGTACCTTCTGGAGTATAAGATCCCATTGTTTTAGGAGCTAAATAACTAGTTGTAATAAGATTTGTTATACTATATGTTGATAATTGATAACTAGATTTACTGTTTAATATTGTTGCAACTGTCGGAACTACACTAGTTAAAACCTCGCTAGTAGGTACTAAAGTAATTGTTTGTGAAGCGCCATTTGGTGAATTACTGTTAGCAGGAACTACTGTCACAATTGGTGCGGCAGATGCAGCTTGTGGAGAATCAGGTGCCGCAGTAGGATTTTGTGAGTTTGGTGCCGCCGCACTAGGATTAGCATTTGGTGCCGCCGCACTAGGATTAGCATTTGGTGCCGCCGCACTAGGATTAGAATTTGGAGCCGGTGTAGGATTTAGTGGAGGGGGAATAACTTCTGAAGGATTAGAATTTGGAGCCGGTGTAGGATTTTGAACTTGATTTGGCTGAGAGACAGCACGTACAGGTTGGTTAGGAGAACTAGGATCTGGTGATGGCGGATTGGGAATTGCTAGGCTTGGCATAGGAATATTTTGATTTTGTGATTCTTCTGGTTGCGGTGCTTGAGAGACAGCAAGTACAGGTTGGTTAGGTTGCGAATTAGAATCTGATGACGAGCTGGGAATTGGTATGTTTGGTAAAGGAATATTATTTCCTGATTGCGAACTAGTATCTGGTGTTGGATCGGGAGTTGATGGATTTGGTGCTGGTGGAGAGACAGCAAGTACAGGTTGGTTAGGTTGCGAATTAGAATCTGATGGCGGACTGGGAACTGGTATGTTTGGTAAAGGAATATTATTTCCTGATTGCGAACTAGTATCAGTTGATGGATCTGCTGGTTGATCGACAGCACGTACAGGTTGGTTAGGTTGCGAATTAGAATCTGATGACGAACTGGGAACTGGTATGTCTGGTAAAGGTATACTATTTCCTGATGGCGAACTAGAATCTGATGTCCCACTAGGACTGGTGTCTATCGGAGAGGATGATTTGCTATCAGATTGTGAATTGGCAGGTTGTGAGGTTTGTTTGTTGGTTGAAGTTTGTGAATTGTCGTTAGTTGATGAGTCGGTTGGTTCGTCAATTAATGGGGCTGAACTTTTGCCATTTGAGGTATCAGTTGAATCGGTTGGTGAAATATCAATTGGTGTATCTTTTGAATTAGAATTGTTGCTTTGTGATGTATCAGGTTTATTATTATTTTGTGATGTATCGGACGATGTAGATGGTGTATTAGGTTGATTGTTATTTTGTGATGTATCGGACGATGTAGATTGTGTATTAGGTTTATTGTTATTTTGTGATGTATCAGACGATGTACCAGGGCTATTGTTATTTTGTGGAGTATTATCAGATTGTGTATTAGATTGACTACTGGGTTGATTATTAGATTGACTACTGGGTTGATTATTAGATTGACTATTAGATTGACTATTAGGTTGAAGATTAGGTACTGATATATTGGGTGAGACGTCTCGAGCTCTCACGTAATCGTCCACTTTATTTTCAGGGAATGCTTTTTTAGTGGTCGTGGGAGAAGGGGCATAAGAACTTGATATTTTTTTATTTATATTTATTATCATATTTCTTTTAAAGACGCTCGACCCGGTCGAGGCCTTTTTTAACGTTGCTCTATGTATTGTCGGATAGGCATCATCTATATATTTTATAGAATTAATTGGAAGTTTTATAGTTGAATTTAATGAATGATGAATGAATTAAATGAATGAATTTATGAATGAATTAATTAATTAGTTAATTAATGAATTAATGAATTAATTAATTAGAATTAATTAAAATTCTTACATGGCGTTGTTATTGATGTCTTGATCATATCTCTATTACTTTGACCTTATTACAGAATAAAAATTGAGTACTTTGATATTTTATTACATTAATATACTAGTAATAATGATAATGACACATACCGACAACACTATTCATCCGCTTTTCTAAATTTTTATAACTTGCTAAACTTTGCCCTTTAGAACTCCGTATTCTAGAATAAGCATATACGAACCCTTTATAAATAAATGGGTTTAAACTTTTAGTTATTTATAAATAATTGTTTTTTTTTGTAAAAAAAAACAAGGAATCTTTACCATTCTCTCCGACCACTAAAAATAAGACTAAGAAGACGATGAGACTAATGAGTTGTCTCATTTGGCCGCACTTATAGGGAGTTTTGTAAGGAAGGTTTGAGGGTCGGATAGGCAAATGTATATGGCAAAGCCAACAACTTCTACCGCTAAACTATCTATAGTTTTAGATGATATCATACCCTCATCAAAGGAGTGTGCATTTTTTTAAAAATGGGTCGAAAAGAACAAGTCAACAATTGCTCAATTGATTATTTTTATATGTCATCACTTGTGCTATGTTTCGAGCGCATATTTAACTGTATAAAAAAATTTAATATAAATTTATACCCTTTTGGAAGGATGATAAAAAATTAATATAAAAAATTACTATTTAGGGTTGGGATTGAATATTACTTATGCGGTAAGAATAAATATAAACAGTTACAATTTATGCACACAATGTACGCATGAAATATTCCCGTATGTACTCTCTTGTTTTATGAAGTTTTTTGTGTTCGCATGCCCTAAACCATTCACGTTCACAGTGTCTTTTTTATTTTTTTTGAATTTTAACTAATATATTAAGCATTTATTTTATTGATGGATTTTTACGTAGGAAAAAAACCCTGATATTTTTTATTAGCATCAAAAAAAATTTTTATTCATTTAACCATTTCCTAATACTATTTTTATATATATAATTTTCGAGTAGCTTTATACTGTTAAGAAAAAAGCAATCGTTAATTTTACTGTGTTTATTATTTAAAATTATTTTTTGACTGCACCTACAGTATATAGTATTTATTTTTATGTAATTAAAATTATATTGGCATTATAGTAAACCAAATCCATTAGGTTGTGATTGTTTTTTATGGGCGCAGAAAAAAAAATCTGCTTGTGCTTTAAATTAGTAAAAGAAGGTTTTTATTTTATTAAAATGCACTTATGGTGCATTTTTATCTTTATTTTTTATCGTTAATAAACGGGAATTCATCGAAGATTACCATGGCTTGATAGACGTATATTTAGGCGAACCACGTTGGTATGTATAATTTAGGTAACATAATATGCATTTTTTTTCATTAATTTGCCTGTTTTTGTGTCGGATTTTATGCAAATATAATGAGTACTACTTATGATAAGGAGACAAATTAACAAGTACGTACGACAAATGATGACGTATTGATCTCAATGCAAGGCTTAAATTCGCCCGAGATTGTGCAAAAATAATAATTGCCTGCTAATGCTAAAATCGAACTCAATTTCTATATCAAGTGATAGATGCTGATAGATTGGTAAATTGTTCGCACGCGGGCTTATTAATGTAACAAACATAGACGCATTTGCGTAATATTGGCATTTTGAGATCAAAATAGCAATAATCACAGTGCTATTTAGGAATTTAGAATTTTATATCCAGAGCCCACCATGTGGTACATCATTTCCCAACAGCCAAATAATGGGTTCTCAAGCACCTCACTTAATATATTGGAAGTAAATTTTAATTAATTGACAAAAGGTGGTTTCAAGCTCGTGTTGGAAAATGGAAATTAAATTACATAAATATACAACAAAGGTAACCGGGTTGATGCTTCTTATTACTTTTTGTATTTCGAAATTTTCGATAACATTTAATAAATCACACAGAACCGATAAGCACTGATCGAGGACATTATTTTGGTCTATCGTACATCGTTACAATTATTAGCAATCATCATAGTTAAGCAAATTTCAATAATATCATTCGTACATATTATGAGAATAGTCAAGATTATAATACTTTTGCACTATTTCGATCATCAGAAAATCGCGATCACCAGAAAATCGCATCCAGGGAATGTCGAGAACGCCCTAAGTGAATCATCATTTCTGAAAAAAAAAGGCAATCTTTTTTAATAGAGTCGTTCTGATTGGTTAAAATAACCAAAACAATAGTGATAGTAATTCTGGTTATAAACCATTCAATTTTTAATCTTTTTATAATAATCCTGAGTGGTGTGGCATATAACCAGTATGGAATGGTTTATATTAAGTCACTCAAATATTAATATAGACATGTATACGAATTTCAAAATTACATTATTGATACGACGATTAAAGATGCTAAAACGTAACTGTTAATGCATCAAAAATCTAACTTTTTTGTATCACTTTGCTCTAAACAAAATTTAATATCCGGGGTGAATATCGGCCCAATTATTAGATTACCCGAATAATTTGAAATAAACGGTTGGTTTGATATGTTGTTGTCAACAATATTATTGTTTGACCAGAATTATAACCCTAACTCAGGCAAAGGCGACACCTGACGCAAGCGTGCACAATATATGTACAGTAATATCGTTGCATATTACTAAACAAGTTGAAATACATAAAATTATTTAAACCCCGAAAACAAAAACAAATTCTGAATTAAAACAGAAACATTGTCTTTCCATCAGGTTGTCACTTGTGAAACATAAGCACTTTATTAATGTCCAAATATTTATTATTTAATAAACTATTATTCTCCGTTTGACTAATTTAGGTCACCCATAATTTAACTCAAAATTCAATAAGAAAGTATAAGTACGTAAATACTATTTATTTCCCCGGCACGGCGGAATAAATGAGTTATTCAACGTAGAGAGTGGAATCGATGAGTTTCGAACATTGGTTGATCACAAACTAGAATTTCGAACATCGGTAAAAAATTTTGACCGATGTTCGAATGTTCGATGAATTTTTTAAAAACAAAAAATCGTGTAACATTTAATTTATCAATTGTACTGCTATTGCTACGGTATCAAATTTACAAATTTTAATTTTGACCGATGCTCGACGATTGACCCGAATTAAAAACTCAATGAATGAAGTTTATTTCGAATTATTCACCGATTCCACTCTCTAATTCAACGTTTCATATGACGACATGACAGGGACTCGTGTTATTAATTATTTTTATCATTTTCTTTGTCTCCCTTTATATTTTTAAATTTTCGGGAAATAACAAATGTCTAACAAATAAGAAAAAAAAAAAGAAAGAAAAAATTATGATAAAAATTATGATTAATAACACGTAAATCCCCGTCATGCGATCATAATGAGACGTGGAATAAATAGTACTTATACTCTAAACGTGAATAAAATAAATTTGACCAAGATTCAACACTAATTACCGTATAATCTCGAAATAACGCGCGGGGTATAATCCCGAATTTCGGCCCAAATTAAGCTTAATTTAGGCCGAAATTCGGGATTACGCCCCTGCGCGTTATTTCGGTATTAAACCTTTGCTTTAAAAATGAAAACTTCTATAATAGTTATATATCAAACCACAACTTTAAAATAAAGCAACCAAATGTATATCACCAGCAGGCAGCTATTTTGCACATTTAATGTTCGAGTTAAACTCAAAAAAGAAGCAACGTAATTGATAAGTTTTGCAGATTAATAATAATCATCGATGTATTTCATAATCAATGAACCTCAAAACTGTAAAAATAATCATAAATACATTCATATTATCTGCGAAAGAATCCCAATCTATATTACAATTATTCTAAAATTTTCTTAAAAAAGAACAACGCGATAATGGTGAATGCTACGAATGCAGTTACTAAAGAATGGAATGGGATCATTGACTATCTAATAGAAGGTACCTGCGATGGGTGGGTTTAACTTGTTGGCATAGAATTATCAAACGTCAAAGGAAAGAAAGCCACAAAAACAAATGATAAAACACAAAAAAAGTAATAAAAGAAAAAGAATGGGCATTGATAACATTGAGATAGACTTATCAAGAAAGAGAAAAATAAAAGATTATAGGTTTCCTAGTTTAAATCTTAGAAATAATAAATATCTCAGACTTAGTGATGGACTTAAAAATTAGATATTCAAATGTCATACCCTCAAACAAAACTTTAGTGAAAATTGTTCCTGGGTCAATTTAATCATAAAATTATTTTTTAAAAAATTTCTATTTATTGTAATGAAATGCATAAAAATAGGTTCAGTTCGAATTTTTTGTCTTTATAAAAAAAAAACTTAGTCAATGTAATAGTAAGTCTGGTTTTTTCTAATCATCGTTATTGTTAGATTCCAGTTGATAATCAGAAAGTTAATAATTTCAGTATGCTACAACAATACTCTGATCATTTTTCGATATCGATGTTCATTTAAATTTTTGCGCAATAAAGTTACCTGTAAAAGTAAACTAAAAATCTTTGTTATTCTTATTTTATCTTTATTGATTTTACGCAGTTATTTTAAATTTCATCAAAAAAACCGAGTCAATTTGACGGATTAATCACGTGAATTATTTCAGCATCCACCAAGTGCCGAAATACAGAAAGTTGAATTCATTTTAGAATAAAAATAATAATATAGTCATTATGCTAGAATTTAATTTAACATCTCTAACTAGGGTTTGTAATTCCAGAACTTTAAAATGGTTTGAACCATTTCGTATTATTTTAGTACTTCTGTCTTGAACTTACTGTCATACACGTAAAAAGGAAGAACATAAACAATAGTAAAGCTCTAGATAGAGTACATTCTTCGGCTGAACAATAAAATGCCTAGACATTATTAAAAGTGTATAGGCGAAATTGTGTATACAAGCACTTAGCATGTATGTATATGAATACGATGTAAAATATAAGAAGTCATTCAGAAATCATTGTTTGCAAAGGAAGGATCACTCAAAAAAGCCTCCTATGCTGAACCCTGTCGGCAGGATGCTTTTTCAATCTACCAGTATCCACTGGCAAGATTAAGGGTAAATAATAATTATTATTTTGGTGACGGTGTCGGGCAGCGATAATTGGTGTAAAAATGAGTCATGTCCTTTTGCTTCACAAGAGAAGCCCACAGGCTGTTAGAGAGCTGGTATTGAAGAAAAGAATTCGCAAGCTTTTTCATAATCATTGTTGAGTGGGCTATATTCAGTGGATGATTATTTGTGTTGGATAATGTCTTCATCAAGCATCTGTTTTATTTTTTCCCCTTTCTCCTTCTGTGGGTGACCAAGTTTAGTGATGAGATAAATTAATTAGATATTATTACTTAATGTTATTTTATTTTTTTTAAGACTCAATTTACTTGTTCGGTTAATTCAAGAATTTGTCTTCGATATTCTAGTTTGATAGGTTTTCAAGTTCGTTAAGTGTCTTCTTTTTTTTTTTTGAATAATAAGAAAAATTCACTCATCTCATTTTTATTAAAAAAAAAAAAAAATTAAATAGACTCAGTAGCTGGTTAATATAAGATCATACTGACCATACTTAGGGTGTACAATGGGCCGGGCCAAACCCGGGTTGGGCTGGGTTCGTAAATTAATTGGGTCGGGCTTGTAAAAACGGGTTGAGCTTGGGCCGAGTCAAACCCGGAAATTTATATAGGTTGAGCCTTGTTCGGGTCAGATCCGGGCCTAGATTCTTAGTTCTACAATGAATTGGGGCCCATAATTTAACGGGTTGGGTTTGGGCCTAAGCAAGTCTGACCCAACCCGGCCCCTAACCATACTTAACATTAATAATATATGCAAAAAGAAATTTAATTCTCTAATCAATCAATCGTTTATCACTGACGCAAAAGTAAGATTAAATAACATTGTTAGCAAAATTCATAATTAATTCTGGTTCTACTACAAAATTCCAAAAGCCATTTTCCCGAAAGAACATAATACTGGCTAATTGGCCAGCATTATAACTAATGCTGGCTAACTGTCTTTCGGGATTTTGTGGTAAAATCGTTAATTCTAATCTTATATAAAGTAATCGTTCATCACTAACCAAATGCAACTATTAATTTGGAATATTATCATTTGTAGAAGTTTCTAAAGAAGAAAATGGATCGAGGGCATGATGTACTAACGTGAAAGATTGTTGAGGTGGTATTGATTGAAAGACAATTTGTTAGTCTAATGTCTAACACGTGCGTTTTTTCACTTTCTGTAAATAACTTCTTTGCATCCAGGTCTTCAAGATCGATAATCCAAGAATGTAAAAGGACTTCTTCACTTAATTTATTACAATGGTCATATATGGTATCTTCAACGCACGTTACAGTAGGTAAGGGATAACAATAAATAATCAACACAAGTTGATTAACCATAGCTCTTTGGAGATATCGTGGCTTAACTCCTGATAATCTCAAAACCACGAAGGATCTTTCTTTGTTACTGTATTTGTAGAAGTGGTATTTGTAAAAAAAAAAAAATTTACGTAATCTATTAAAACATGTAAACAAGTTAATAAAATTATATAGATCACAACAAAAATCTGGCATCAGTTACCACATTAAAGGAGAAGTTTGATATTTTGCCCAAAGCTCGCTTACTCTCTCCATGAACATTCACTATATTAATGGTAGATAGGTGCTTTCCAAGGTCTCTTAGCAAATAGGACCGCCAGAAGAACCACTATCAATCAATAATTAAAGATATATACTGATATTGACAAGTAGTACAAAATCATGTTACTGAAAATTTTTATAATTGCCAAACTAAAACTTTTGATCTAAATCTCAAACTCAAATTTTAAACTATATATATAAATTTTTACAATAATTTTTTATAATTTTTTATATTATATAGGATTAGTATTTTTAAATTATGATTCTACTCTAGATTAATATTATCTAACATTGTATTGATATTGAATTTGTTATTCTACATGATTTTTTCAGTTTGGTTATTCGCAAAATTTCTAAAGTATAAGTTACTACCTACATAGGATTGGGATTTGTACATAGGATTGGGATTTATGCATAGGATTGGGATTGATAGAATTAGAATTGTACCTTGTTTGAGATTGGGCCATGTGCTTTATTAATTTGAGATTTATATACAAAAGGTTTTAACTAGTCCAAACTATAGTTAATACCCTAGAAAGTCCCAAAGGCCCAAACTAGTTAGATTTGGACGGCAATTATAGTGCCCAATCGCATTAACTCCTTTCTACATCAAAAAAAAAAGCCATGATTTCAAAAATGTTTGCAATACTTTATGACTTTGATTTTTTATACAGTACTTAATAAACCAGAAGCACCAAAGTTACTGCTATATTGGCATGTGGTATTTATCTTTAATACACAATTACTAAAAACGTATATTCTTAAGTATCCTCAAAAGCGTCCAAGACTACACAGTGGTGAAATTACTGTTTATGCCGAGAGGAGCAAAGTAAAACGATCTCGGCATACATTAAGTTAAAATTCATTAAGATAGACGGGGATTTACACCAACCAACAGCACTTACCATATTTTCACGAAATAACGCGCAGGGACGCTATTTTGAATTTTGGACAAAATTAAGCTTAATTCGGGCCAAGTTTCGAAATTACACCCCTGCGCGAAAATACGGTATAATAAAAGTGTATGTATTCTATGATTTCATTAATAAGAATTTATATCTTTAATGTCCCGCAGAACCGAACCGATTTCCGGTTCTGAATTATGGTAAAGTTTAATTTATTAAGGGATTGGATACAAAACTCTAGTAACAGTAGTCAGAAATCGAATAAACTATCCGAGTTATGAATAAAATATGGAATACGGACTGACTTTTTTTCACAAATTTTTTGCAAATCGTTATAAAGAGTACTTAAATTAATAGCAATAAATGAGAAACTTATAAATAACAATAATATGAGAATAAATTTCATGAAATGCTAAGCATTCATCTTAACTTCATGTAATATTTTATTCTTTGCTACATTTAAAATCTTTTAGCGCGGTATGATTACAATGAATCTTAATGCACACTTGGTTAATATAACTGATAATTTGTCAATTTGGACAATCATGCTATTGTAATTTATATATATATACCGTATTGTCGCGAAATAACGCGCAGGGGTGAAATTACAAATTACGACCTAAATTAAACTTAACTCGGGCCAAACCTCTAAATTACGCCAACCGGGGTTAAATCACCACCCAAAAAATTTCAGATCATGTGATTTAATAATCGCGGTATATCAGTTATACGATGCTTATTACTAGTGTTTCGATACTTAATCCGACCATCTGAATTGATCCTTAAATATAGATAAATTTAAATATCCAGATCAGAGATTTTTATTCGGATTTGTCAAAGAACTTAAATAACGGACATAAGGGTGTTCTCAAAGCTAGCTTTATATATAATCTGACACGGATTCAATCCGTATTTAATAGAATCCGGATGGCCTGTCAAAGATAGGATCGAATCCCTACTTATTACATAAAAAATACGTAGTAAAAGCGAAGTATATTTAATTTTTTGAATATGTGAATAATGTAAATCACATGATCTGAATTTTTTTGGGTGGCGATTTAACCCCGGTTCATAACGCCCATGCCCGGCAATACGATATTCATAGCACCTAGCCCCAGTGTTGTCAATGGACATGGACATGGACATACAAAAATATGGATGTATATATCCATGAACATATAAAAATATGAACATGTCCATGGACATGGACATTGGACATTGTGTCCATGAACTGTCCATGTCCAATAATTTGCTTGAATATATGTCCATGTACAACACTGCCTAGCCCTATATAATAGATTTTGTTGGTACATAAAGCAGCGACATTTTTTTTTAAAAGATAAATTTTAAATTAATTTATTTAAATAAGGTTTGGATCTTTAAAAGATCACCAAATAGTAATGCCTCATATGCATTATTGTTTCTTAGTCTTCATTCTTCTCCGGAAAAGCCGGGAAACTATTCCATTTTTACTCCCTAAACAAAAAAAAATAATAATAAATAAAATAAATGTAAGTCACAAAGAATTGTAATTAAGATCTCTAAACATTCATCCATTGTCACCATATTTTCGAGGGAAGGAGGAATTTTTTTTTTTTAAAAAAAAAAAAAATTCCTTTGCTCAACCCAAATTGAAACCAATAAATTTGCTCACAAAATCTCCATCCGTTACATAGCGTGTTAGCTTTTTTCCGATTTAACTTATTCTGTCTAAACTTTATTCGGACTCCTTCAGCTCTATATCATCATATGACAATGTACAAATGCCTCTTAAATGGAGGAAAAAAAAAACTAGAATGCCTAGGCATTATATTATTAGTATGCTATCTATCTCTTAAACCATCACATTTGGCTGGCAAATTTGGCTGCTAAAATATTAAAATTGTTGTGTCTAAACTATTTTTATTAAAAATTAAAAATTTTTTTTTTGTATAATAATATTTGAAGATAAGGATTATAAAATAGTATTATTTATTTTTAGATGAGAAAGTTATCTATATAATAAAAATATTAAAAATTTTATTATTTTTTTTTTTAAAAAAAAAAATTATTTTACTCTAAAATTTTTATAATTATATGCCCCTATAATTTTAATTTTAATACAAATTGTAAAATTTATTTTAAAAAACACCTTAAACCAATGAAATTTTTATAAGTAAAATTTTACTTTAACAAAAAATTGTTGTTTTAATAAAATTTAATTTAAATTAAATATCTTAAATAAAACTGTATTAAAATCAAATTATAAATTTTATATAATTAATAATATTTTAAATTTTTATTTTTAACTTAGAAATGGGGACACATGTTTAATAAAATTTTAAATAATTATACTGGCAAATTTGCCAGCTGGACGGCTTAAGAGATATTACTCACCTCAAAGTCGCCTTTAATGTGATAAATTGGAATGGTTTGAATTTAATAATAGCACCTTCGGTTGAATGATAATCAATCTTAATTTGTTTATCTTCTAAAATGTTTGTTTCATAAAGTTTTTCAAACGAAAATGAACTATATATATGTATATAATGCAAATGAAATATAATTTTGGTTACTTTTAGCATACAAACATAAACTCATGTGGCTTTAGATAGATAGAGCACACACCTTCGTAATTTAGCTGTAGCATGTCCACCATAAGCCTCATATAATCGTAAAACTATTTCATCTGAATCTTCTGCACGCTTAACTGTATCCAGAATAACATTTGGTGCACCATCAACTGTGAAATATGATTTTGAACCATGTGAAAGAGCGAATTCCTTGGAAGTGGACCTGTTTTAGTAAGATAATAGTAATGAATGAATAATTGAATATTTTTGAATAAATCAATAAAAAAACTTTATTATGAATAAAATATAATATATATAATAACCTCACAAGCAATGGCACATTAAATTGAAATGCTTCACGAACGACGTTCGACTCCAGGAAGGAACCGGTATGGGGAAACAGCGCATATTTGAATTCGTGAACTCCGATATCACAATAATAGTCTGGTGCCTATTAATTGACAGAAATTAGATGATATAGTTATTTAAACAATTTAAAGAACAACACTAACCTTTGGCGACCTCAAGAGAGATAAACGCATAACATTTCCGTGAGTAGCATAACCTGTTCAATTAATCAAATTTAAGCAGTAGTTCATAATAAAGTTTTCCGAGATACTAAAAATACCTTACCATATTTGCAATCATTTAATAAAGCAACACCATATCCGTACTCCGAAAGATCTGCAAACTTATGACCACAAACTTCAAATTTAGCTGAATCCCATGAAGTGTTATAATGCGTGGGACGTTGAATAAAACCAAACTGCGTCTCATATGTGGCCTAAGAAAACATTCCAATAATAAGTTAATTTATTACATCAATTGGCAATTAATATATTAAAGCACATGAAGTAACTTACAAAATCACTGTAAATGTCAAACGGAAATTCTACTTTCTGTAGAAATGTTAATTAAAATATAACATAAGTTAGTCACAATAATGATACATCAATCCTTTTTTTTTTTGATTATTAATAATGTTAGCAAAGACTTCGAGATTACCAAGAATTGTCTGTTTTCGTTCCAATCAACTCGTGTTTCAAAATCGAGTCTTCGAGATGCAACAGTCAAAATTATCTTTTGATATAATTTACTAGTCTCGCTTAGATTAGTCTCCAATAACAAAACAGAACGAAGTGGCCCTTGTTCAATAATCTATTATTATGCAAGGTAAAGTGATATAAAGATTAATTACGCTAAAATGCTAGAATTGAATTCATAAAATACATTTATTTACCTTAACAGTTCCTCCAAGGCCGACATCACGCCCTTTTTGTAGATGATAAATTTCCACTGTACATGAAACTTCTGTTAATAAATGTTTAAATGGTTATTGGGTGCTAACCTGGAAATACACTCACCATCCCAGGCTACAATAATATGGAAGCATTAATATTTCAATTAAAACTAACATCAATAAGTACAAAGAAACACATACCATCCCAGAATAGCGGCTAAGAATATAATGCCAAATAAGTATGATGCAAATTCAAAACAAAGGAAATCTATATAATAATTATCACTCACAATATCCTCATAAATCTTGAATAGATTTCCATATTGCCCAGATGGTATAATTTCGCGACTAAAACATCAAATATGTAACTCTTAATTTAAATTTAAAGAAATAATAATATACAGTATTTATAATAACAAATATTTACTCAAGCATTCGATCGACTAAACTGAACAAGTGGCCATGTCTATTGAATTTGGCAGTGATAAATTGATTTTCCAAACAATAACAGTCATCATTCGTTTTACAAGCTAATAATTTAACAGAAAATATTTATATATTGTCAAAAACAGTAATTTAATTATGTTGTAATA